AAAAAGAGAAGCTGCTACATCAATTTACAAATGCTCTATTATTTCTGATACAGCAGTGACTGCAGGTACCAAGAATCATAACTGCAGCTCCCATTAAAATTATGAACCCTATTAATCAACCTCACATCCGAGATTTCGGTACGTAGCTGAAATTCGAAGGTAGCAAAAGCATGGAAATAGAAGTGAAGCTGATGCACTCAAAAATGCTCCAACCAGTGACATGAGATATGCGAAAAAGGGAACCGCCAAAGCTACTACAACACTGCTGATTACCAAGCCAGTACTGAGGAGAAGGTCGAAGGGTCTTTTATTGCAGTGATTTGGAAACCAATTTTTGGCTGAATTTATTATTGGTGTAACCATTAAAGCATATTTGGATAGTGGATTGATAAGGGTGGTACATATTGCGATTTTTGAGCTAAGTTTTTCGGTTGGGAGGTTTAAAGTTATTTGTGATTGAACTGTTGAACCAAACATTAAGTACCCTAAAACTGCCATTGATGCATATCCAATGGTGCATAAGATAAAGCACAGGAGGAGGACCTGCAACAAAAAAAACAAACATATTGAAAGTTGGTAAACAGATTTCAAGACCGCTGAAAAAAATAGAGTATCTGAATGATCATAATAAAATATCTATTGCTACATCCACCAAATTTTCTGATACTCATGATATCCATAATGAAATCTCCTAGTGGAAAAAAAGATTAGGTGATGAAACCCTAGCATAATTGTTGACGAAAGTCGGATGACATGTCACATACATGTGATAGACAAAAACTAGTCTCAAAAGCTTGAACTCTTAGGGAATAGGCCAACCCTCCACCCTATAGACCAACAAAAAAGTAAGGAACAAGAATCGAACTTAGAACCCTTGCAAAGAAAAGTCTGATACTCCTTTAGAAAGCAAACAATTAATTTGTACTTACATTCGAGAACTGGCGTTTGTTTTTCATTGATGTGTAGAGTGTAGGGAACACCGGATGCGCACAATAGCAGAAGGCGCATACAAGCTAACAGAAGTAGAGATTCCATTCCAATTAAGTGGAACTGATCCCTCTTGGTGAAATCCAATTCCATCAAAAGCACCAGTCCACAAAATTGACCCAAGGATGATAGCAGAGGCAAAAACCCCACTTGCAGAGACATAAGAAAGAAGGCTCAAGTTATCTAACCACACAGTTGGCAGCACAATAGGTGCAGCAATTATTATAAAACATTCTTTTCCTCCAATTATGAAACCAGACACTTGCAGTTCAATGTTTGGAAATAAGTTGTGTAGGTTATCTCCTTCTAGAATTAGGAAAGCTGTTGAAACTAAGTAGAGTTCTGAGTTCATGAAAATTGACAAAACTATTCTTCCCTTATTCCCAAATGCATGTTCACCAATGTCTGGATAAGTTCTTATAGTAGAATCCTCATCCATGCATCTTTGAATTAACAAGCCTGAGTAAAATGCAGCGGCAACAATCACAAAAAGAAGTATCAAGCTTAGCCATCCTCCTGATGATAGTGCATAAGGAACTGACAATATCCCAACTCCTGAAACCAAATTAAGAGGAGTAAACGACACAATATTGACTAAGGTTGCACTGAGGAAAGTACAATTGAAATGAAAATCTATCAATTTAATCAAAATATGTAAATATATTGAGTTCTTCACTGAACATGTTATGGGTTTTTTCTTCAAGAACAGAAATGCTAGAATACCCAAACTGGTCATATAATTAAGAAGTAGAACCTAACAGGGCATTAAGTCCATTGAAACAAGTTTTCAAAAAAGACGTAGTGTTGGTAGTTTGATGATCACTGTCAGTTGCCCCTACTTCATCTGGCCTGCACCTTTCATGTTGCCTCTTCTCAAACACAAGTGGTACTGTATTCAAAGCTTAGATATTCAACAAGTGGCAAGGTCAAGGATGTTTTGTCATTCATTTGAGAGAGAGAGAGAGATGCAGATTCAATATTCTTAGATCATATGGATATATATGTCGCTGCTTGAAGGTGTAGCATACGCTTGAGAATAAATTTAGAAAGCACTGGTGGCAACATTGATCGCATTCTTATCTTCCAATATAATATCAGAACTTTTTTAAAAGAGTAGACCAAAAAAAAAAAAAAACAAAGAGAAAGACTTTTAGAAAGTACTCATAAAGATCTGCCAAAATTATTCAGACTGAAAAGAAGATCTACCAAACCAAATTTATAATGAAATAAATATAAAATTATTAAGTTAACTGTTCATTTACTCCTGAACTTGTACGCTGTTTTTAATTTGTACTTTGAAATGGACCCCCAATATTTAACCCTAAAATTATTTTATAGTAAAAAAGTGGATTCGTCAATTGCATTCTTAATCCGTGATATTTCTGTAATCACACTTTTATATGAATATTTTTTGAAAATTAAAATAAGGAACCGAGAAGTAAATATTATCAGAAATTATAAACTAAAACATGATACAAAATGATAGTTTTCTGAATTATATATGCACATTGTACCAGCTAACATTGGATCAACATACATATAAATATATGGAACCCCGAGAACACCCACATACATCATACACACATAAAATGTGCTCTATATTAGGATTTCTGGATAAAGAGGTTTTCAGTGGGCCAATTTTAACACGGAGGTAAAGTTAAAAAAAAAAAAAGCTATTCTGCATTATGCAAACTTTTGCTTTAGATTTGGAATACAATGTGGTCACAAAAGATATGATGTCGACCGAGTATATATATTACTTAAGAAAAAGTATATTCCAAAATATTTTAGGTGCACACTTTAAGTTGTATAACTTATGGGAGAGTGAGACCAATCATTTGTTAAGATTGGGCAAATGCTTTAAGAAGATAAATAGGTGTTGGTCTTCTGCCAACTTAGTGATTTTAATCCAAATATGTGATTGACATATGAAAATTAGTATAATGTCGAATGCCCACTCAAAAGAGTTTATTGACGAAAGAAAAAGGATTGATTATCGATCATGCTCTGTAATACCATGTAGAAGTTGAGGTTACACCCCAAAATTAATTGGAAATGAGGAGAGTAGCCCAACTCCTTATAAGCTCATGCTATGTGTGTCCCTTAACTTTTTAGTGTAGGAACACTAAAAGTCTGCCTAACTATGGTAAATCACAAATTCGATTTATGAAAACTGTGCCAGGTTCGTCATCAGGATCGGTTTCCTCTTCATATTCACCACCTAGGGTTTCTGAAGCTACCCTACTCATCCTAATTACCATGCAAGTACCAATTCCGTCGAAGAAAACAATGGGCAGCCCAAGTCTTTTCTGTTCCATTTTTGTATTGTGAAAGGTTAATTAGGTTTTTGGAGTTCTTCTCTACTCAAGACTTCGCTCCTGTATCTGCTTGACAATTGTGCGTTTTGTGATCAGTAGGAAATAGGACCAAGGAAAAATTAAAAAAATGTGAAATACAAATTTTTAAAGGTTCTATAATATTTCTCTTTATAATTTTTCTTTGGGAGATTCACTATTATACCCAATATAGGAGCCCAAATTATAAAATAAAAAAATCTTTACAACATAACAAAATGGCTTTTAACTTCTTTTAAATTACAAAACTGTCATTGATTTCTTAAAAGAAACCCAACCCCAAAACCTCATAAAAAAATCCAAAACACTCAATAGGGCTTCAAAGTAATTTAATAATCAAAATTAAATTCAATAGGGCTAACTGTCATTTTTTGGGTTTTTTTTGGGTTTGTTTATATAAATTAAATTGTATAGGGTTTATTTATAATTTTAGTGCTAACAATGGGTATATGACTAATATCTCTTTTTCTTTATGTTCTGGCTTTATCTCTTTTTCTAAAGATTCTGTAATACAAGTTTTTGAATGCGTGGCTCCTATCAAATCTCGAAGTCTTACACACACAAAAAAGGTAAATTTAAAGCCGGAGGAAAAAAAATTACATCATTGTACTGTATTGAAATGGAGAGCATTTTTGCTTACCATTTTAACTCAAGGTGTACCATCACCACCATTCTTAATACTTGACATGTGTTCATGAGTCTAACCATGGTTACATAAATCTAAAGCGAATAATTAACTATGGTTATGCCCATGGACACATGTCAAGTGTTGAAAAGAGTGGTGATAGTACGCCTTAGGTTAAAGTGGTGAGCAACCATTGAAATGAATACATTTGACTAGTTTCTAGCAATAGATTACAGAAATTTAAGGCAACAAATAGAGACATGATGTCTCTATTCTTGGACTCTTTTATTCTTGAAATACATAAAAGAATAACTTCTCCCTTGCTAATAAATTTAGGAACACATATGTTCCTATGATTTGCCTTTGGGCACATATGTAATAGATGAAACCATAGAGACATGATGGTGTTAGCAATCTTCTGTGAGGGAGCCATTTTTTTCCTGGGAGAGAATAGGAGTGTTGCTTCTCAGCCTCAAAAATCTCAAATGCATAGACGCTGAATAGGAAGAGAGACACAACACAAAGTTCTTTAAATAGTGCTTAAAACAAGTGAAATCCAATATGTCTCGTACGTGGCCGGCCATGTCTAGTCAATGGGCCTATTGGGCCTGTTGAAATTAAGTTGTCATACAACTCAAGTCACAAGCTCAATGGACCTAAAATCCCGAATTGTATTTTATGGCCTAACCTAACATCATATGTTTGATTACTTAATTTCTTAATTATCTTTGGTTTAATTGATTTAACTAAACTTAACTAATGTCATTGACTCGAGACTTTAAGTGATGAAAACATAAAAACCCTTGAAAACCCAGGTTAGTATTAATTTATACTAATAGACCGCAATACAAAGATATTGAGTTTTGGCTATTCATATAACCTTTAAAATAAAATTCAATTGTAGTTTCAAACATCTTCCAAAAATTGATATTTTACATTAAATTATTGTAGTTAAGTTATTTTACTAGTTTCTATAACGATTATAACATCATGATATATGTAAATATTGTAATATAAATAAAATAAAAAATCTATAGTAGAATTTCCAAAACTTAATTGCAAGATTCGAAAATGCATCTAGAAGCTTAATTGCAAAATAGTTTTTAAAACAAAAACAAAAACAATAAAAATATGTCTGATAGAACTATTTGAGAATAATAAAAATGCTTTTTTTTTTTGGATGCCCCATGTGCTTTCTATTTTGTCTCAGTTTGCCCCCTGAACTTTAAGATGACCCCGTATACCTCCTGAGCTGTCTATTTTTTGGAAAGAATCATTAAGTTGGGTGATGTGGCATGGGTAAGTTTAACTTTCCATTTGATTTTCATCCTCTTAACATTTCTCTAGCTGCTTCCAATTTCCGGCGCATCTTGCGAGGCAAATTTTTCTGTTCCAAACATATCAAGTTACATGCAGAAGAAATAAATAAAAAACTATCAATAAAACATAGATATGAAAAATCCTAGACTTTGATGCGTGATTATAGTCACCTCAAGCTCCTGCTTCCTCTTTACTTTCATTTTTAAGTCTTCGGCTTGTTGGGCACTGATTACCTCATTTCCAGAATGCTTTTCTCTTCCAAGGGATGCCTGTCAATGAAAAACTCTGATGTCATGGTGTACTTTCTTACTTCCCATTTAAGAAAAACACTTGCAGTAGAAAAAAAAATTGTCATCTTAGTGAAAATTAAGGCTATGTTGAAGATCTAAGATTGCACTTGATAGCATTCTTACTCCTATCAGGAAAAAGAACTAAAACACAGGAACACGAACAGATATATAATAATATAAACGGTATTTTAAGTGCCCATATCTAGGATATTTTCAATATGTTTGCATTTTTTTTTCTTATGACAATTTTGAAGTCAGTTAACTAAACACAATTTGTATATGAAGAAATCATGTTGACAAAACAAACATCATTGAAACAAGAAATTACCTTAGCTGCATTCACTACCATCTTCTTTTGCTTTTCTGTCTGAAACCAGGTCTTCTTGCGGCGTGAATAAATTTCATCTTTGTGTGCAATCATATTCTCTGCCTGTATAAAGGCCCCAAACATAAAATCAGAGAAATGATAACAGATAACATCAACTTTCCTAGCAACAATTTCAGAGGAAGGATAAACCATCTGATTGTAGATTGTGCGCTCAAAATGACAAGAATTAGGCAGGAAAGGGAAGAGAGGTGTGAAATACCTTTGTTGCTTCCATTTCAGCTTTTCTCAATGCTTGTTCTTCCCTGCATATGTTGACAATCTTTAATAGTTTCACAAAAGACAATTAAATAAGTAAACCTATGTGAAGCACAATACTAAAACCTTTCTTCTAGCAGAATTGCAGCCACTTGATCTTCCATTTGCTCAATTATCCGGGACCACTTAATAATTGATTCTTCGGCAACAATTCGACTCTTCAGTTTTGAACCAGCTCTTTTTGTCTATTAAATTGAATACCCCATGTAACAGGTAGGTTAAAATCATAATTTTACTAAAATCACAACATCAATTTTGTACTCTACAATAGATATGTAAACGTAAATGCTGGATCTCAAGAGCATTAATTAGAAAATTTTGAGTATGAACCCATTTTCTTTTACGGCCTTAGAACTATGTAAGGAAGAAGAAGATGCTCACGATGGTTTTTAAAAGAGACCGGTCATTATCTGTCACAAAAGTAACAGCATAACCTTCTCTACCAGCCCTTGCTGTACGACCCACTCGATGAACATAGCTGCACCAAGAAATAAACATAATTGAAGTCAAAAGGAAGCACAAATGAGATTAAAGAGGAATAACACACACACCATAAGTGCATAAAGAAAATGTGAAATGCAAGCAAGCAGTAGCTTATGACAGTATGCTAATGGTAGGACTATGATGAACCTATTGTAACAATGAGAGATCCAGTCATTACCTTGTAAGATGAGTAGGACATTCATAGTTGATAACTGTCTGAACACCAGCAATGTCAATGCCCTACAGAAGTTGGTGATTTATTAGTTTCTATAAAGCAGCAAACTTTTTATATTTCATGCACAGTCCAGATGAAGGAGGAAGAGACCACAATCCAACAACCTCACCTGTCTCCTTGCCCTTCAAATACACAGGCAAAAAAATAAAATAACATATGCAGGCTAACAAGGGGACTCAAAGAGCAGAGGTGGATTATAATAATAGATTATTACGGGCACCAGTTTTCTTGAAATTCTGGCTGGAAATCCATATGAAGCTTTTCAATAAATGAATGTGTAGTTTCCTACGTGTAACAGAGGCAGTATGATAATGACCATTAAGTATTGGTACAATGCAGAAACATCGGCCAAAGTCTGAGGGAGTAAGATTAAAATACAAAGGCATGAGTGACTAAGATGCTCACACACATCTAGCAGCACTAATGCATACCAAAAAAGAAATGTGAACAAGTTCTTACCCGGGAAACCAATTCAGTTGCAATCAAAAAATCAACTTTCTGCTTCCTGAAAAGTTCCAACGCCTACACAAACAATAAAAAGTAGGATTTTTACAGATTAAAATTAAAGAAGGTAGTAAGATATAAGCAACAGACTATCACATATATCCAACAGGTTTCGATTATATATGTGAGCATATATATATATAGGACAATGCAACAAACTGATTATACAAAGAACTCGGACAAACAAACAGTATATCAAGGCACTTGAGTACTCACATGTAGGCGCTGGTCTTGAGAAAGATTTCCATGAAGCTCAGCTGCTTTAAAGCCAGCTAACCCAAATAAAATCTTCAACCTATGTGCAGCCAGTTTTGTGCCACTGACAGTAGATGACATATGATTATACAAAACTGATGAAAGATATCAAGCAATCAACCAAAATAAGGAACTAAAATCAAATATTAATTTATTAAGACAATAACAGCTACCAGCAAGACTACAAACCTGAATATTATCACTCTAGAAGTGAATGTCTTTGAACACAATGCAAGTAGAACTGCTTCCTTATTTACTTCACGCATTCGTCGTATCCTAACCACCCTACATGTCAGTCATAATGACAACAGACAATGAGGTGATCAATCATACAGAAAGTTTTAACATATACGTGCTCACGATTGAATTATAGAATCAAATTCTGCAACATTTATAACTAAGTTTATCAAAGCACAAACGAGTCTGAAGGAATTACTCCTCAGTTAGTGCCACTGGCCGTTTAGCAGATGGGTCGGCTGAGAGACGTAGTGGTTTGGTAAGAGAAAGCTTAACAAGTTCATCAACTTCAGTAGTCATAGTAGCTGAAAATAGCATGGTCTGTCTCCTTTTGGGGCATAAACGAATCTGGCATGCAAACCATGAATGATTAAAAAGTGTGAAATAATTCCAAAAAGACAGATTAAAAAGCATATATTTTGGTTTTTCAGGAAATCAGCTATATCCCAATTGTTATCCTGCATGCACCAACAGAGGGCAGAGCATACCAGCTCGCGAATTTCAGCACTAAATCCAATCTCCAAAAGTCGATCTGCCTCGTCAAGAATTAGAACAGCGAGATCTTCCAAATCCACAGACATAGAATTATGTAAATGATCTATAATGCGTCCTGGAGTAGCCACAACAATATCTGGCTTTGACCTCAAGGCTGCCTCTTGCGCCTGATAAAAAAATGGCATCAGCACCGCATTTTTTATGAAAACAGATGAGCAAAAAAGTAAACAGAAGTCGACTAGATAGCATTATGTAATAAGCCACATGACATATGCATTCCATCCACATGCATAACCTTTCAGTTAATATGTTTATTTTTCCCTTGTGAGGTGTGACATGATTTTAATGTTTACTCAAGGTCCTCATATGTGTAGAAATATGTTAACTCATTGTGCTAGGTAGGGACAAAACCAATATGAGTTGGACGTTTAAGGTATCCTATTATTCCCTAGAAACAAACTTTTCCATTGTGTGAAAAAATACGGTTATCATCATATTAAAAGATGTAAGAATCCACATCGCCTCAAAACAGGAAAATCAGAATACGGGATAAGAAACTAAAGTAAATCAAACCTTTAATGGAAGCCCTCCAACAGCTTGGCAACATCTTATATCCGTAAACTGGGCAAGTTTCTCAATCATACTTAGAACCCTGAAATTAAAGAGTGTTAAAATTTAGATCCAAAACTAATTAGTAGAAAATAATCACAAAAATATAATCGGAATAAGATATCAAAAGAACTGTTCCTCAATAAGAATACAATTATGTTCAATCAACTCGTATAATCTGATGAAATAGGCTATCAAAATCATCAACAAAAATAAAATTGGCCATGAAAATAAAATTAGATGGACTATTATAAACTCAAGAATCTACAAATCTGTCAACCAATTTCATCCATCCCTTATCATCAATCATTCTTACAATGTAGTTGTCAATAGTAAGAAATGGTGGAACTATCTTAAACTTACTGAAGCCCGAGTTCCCTGGTTGGGGTCAAAACAAGGACCCTTATAGCTGGCACCCGCTTGGGGCGGAACAATAGTCTCTCCAAAGTTGGTAATGCAAAGGCAGCCGTCTGTGCAAAAATGACAGCAAACGCATTAGCTGATTTGAGACAAAATAGAAAGATTAGCTATGCTGTGAACTAAGACAATTTTGATCCAACTACAACCAATAACGCAATCCCTAGTTCCATGGTACAAAAAGATCTTAACAAACTAATTTACCTTCCCGGAACCAGTAATGGCACTCCCACATATGTCACGCCCGGCCAGGGCTAATGGTATGCACGCTGCCTACAAAAAACCCAATAAATTCAGTAAAACTCATATGACAGAAGAAAATATTACAAGAAATGAATTATCTGTCAACGGTATAGGATTGTAAACCTGAATTGGAGTGGGCTTGGTATGGCCCAATTTCTCACAAGCGCGAAGCAAAGGGCGTGACAAATTCAACTCTATGAATGAATTTGCATGAAACGACATTCCCTCTGACGGAGCAAAAAATGGCTGATTATTGTCATCAGCAATATTAGGAGGAGAATCATCATCGACTTCCTCTTCATCTTCAGGCTGCTTAGAATTTCCCAAAATAATCAACGACCAACAATATTCATTGTAATGAACAACCAATATTATTTAGTAATCTCTTAGGACACTGGGCTGCTAAAAGATACATTGGGCTCTGTCTTGGGTTGCATCGAGCAACTGGGATCTCCTGTACTTGGGCTACTTAGAGCGCATTTGATAATTATTTCATTCAATCTTCAGATTTCATTCACTTTTTTTGAAATCTAAAAATGTTTCAAAATCAAACCATATTTTGAAATCTATCTAAAATTTATTTCAGTTTTCAGTTTCCATTTTTTTTTGGTCTCCTTTCTCATTCACCAATTCTAAGTCACAAAACATGCATTGCACTCCATCAATAACTATTAGACTTACACACATGACACTAAGACCTGCACAGGCGCCCCCTTGACCTTGGCTATCCCCATGGACATCGAACCCAGCTAGTCAACATTTTCTTTAATGTTTTGTCAAGATGGATATACAGTAAATGAAATAAAAATAAGTGGAAACAAGAAGAAAAAATTTGTCCATGTTATAAAATTCTAAACCTGAATTGGAGCGGGCTTAGTATGGTCCCATGGACGTCGAACCCAGCTGGTCAAATCCACATTAGAAGGAGAATTATAATCATTATCACCTTCCTCCTGGTATTCTTCCTTGTCGGATTCTGGCTGTTTATAATCTTCCTAAACAAATCCACAACAACCAATGATATACTATTCTTTATGAATTTTTAGTTTGATTGAATTAATGAAAATAAAATAATATTCAGTAACCAAATAAACAGAAATGAATAGTGAGGGCTAAGTAGTTACTTGTTTGTCGAATTCGCATTCCGAGCTAATACCCTCATCATCTTCTTCAGCAGCACTATGGTGTAAGATTAGTTGTTGCTGCAGGGCTTTGGTGATCTTGAAATCAACGGAGGTGGTGCTTCCACGGACGTGTTCTTGGGAGACAATTTCAAAGTAAGATGCAAAGTCCCATGAGGATTGAAAATTTCCATCACCGAGACCTTGTTCTCCATCCGAATATTCTTCATCGCTTGGGGGTTCAAATACGAAACTCGGAGTCATTGGAATAGAGATCAACCTCAGCTTATATATGAACTAAATGTTAGCTTTGTGATCAGCAGTATATTTCAATAAAAACATCAAACAAAAGCTCAAACCAAGAAAACGTCCAAAAATGACCAAACACAAGAAGAATTACAATTTTTGTTTCATCACCCAATTCTCAACAACCAGACAGAAAAATTTAGACAAAAATTATATATTTTCTTTCCATACCTTTTCTCAGCTACCAAATATATTAATTAAACCCTAAATAAACCCCAAATTGCATAATAATTCAATTCAAATTAAACCCTATATAAACCCCAAATTCCAGATTTATTTTAATTCAAATGAAATCGCAATAAAACCCAAATTGCAGATTAATTTCTGTGTACCTCTATAAAGCCAGCCAGCAACAACAGCTCCAAGCCTCCAATCCAAGCTCAGCAAACAATCCCTGCCAAAAATCAATTAAACATCATTAGAAAAGCTTAATTACACCCCCAATTGAAAACTGAATTGGTTAATTAAACCCCAGAACCGAAACCTAATTGGAATCCCTAATTCAAAAGCCTTTAACCGAAACCCTAAAGTCAAAACCCTAAACTAAACCCCAAAATTGATATGCATAATAATTGTATTCCCAATTCAAAAGCATCATTTAACCCTAAATCGAAACCCTAGAATTCCCAATTCGAAGCCCTCATTGAAACCCTCAATTTCAGAAATTAGGGTTGGATAAAAAAATTTACCTGATGAGGAGGAGGAGATGGCGATTCAGAGGCCACTGATAAGCTTCAAATCGATGAGAGATGTGAGGCTGAGATGATGAGATGAGAGAGAGAGAGAGAGAGAGAGAGAGAGAGAGAGAGAGAGAGAGAGACTGAGACCAGAGAGTAGGGTTGAGTCTCAGAGGGTCGACGGCGAGAGGGTAATCGAGGCTGAGAGAGGGGAGGCGAGGCGGCGGTGTGCCGGCCCTGGCCCAGGGCGAGCGGGGCACAAGCCCAGGGCCCAAAATTTTTAAAGTGACCTACACATATCTATCTTAGTTTAAAAAAAAATTAATATTTTACTTAATAACTCAGTTCTTTTTTGCCCCAAAAAATAAAGTCAGTTTACGGCACATTTATTGTAGGACCAACGGAGATAGCCTTCGATAAAATAAAATAAAAACCGGAGATAGCCTGAATAAATAACATACTGGGATTGAAATCTCTAAATAAAAAAATAAAGGGATTGATATATTTCTCATGTAATCCATTTTCTTTTTTATTCTTGAGGTTTCTTGGCCTTAGTTTTCAGGTATGATTTTCTTTATGATTGCTGGCCTTTTGTTCTCATTTATCCATTGCCATAAAAGAATAATTTTCAGGTGGGTGGCCTTGAGAGTGATGAAAGATGAAGAGTGTTATGTGCTTGGGACATGGCTCGTGTGATTGGGCGGTTAGATACAGGGAGTTGGTATGTAGTCTTCTTCTTACGGCCTCCTATGGTTGTAGCAATATCTAGGAAGCTCAGTGGGGATAAGAAGTAGATGAAAAGGGTTGCTTCGAGGGAACCCAAAACCTCCAAGTTAGATAAGCTAATAGTAGGAATATTATCTGTCGTCCCATTAATGAAAAGCGATTGGAATTTATACATAGACCAGACTCTAACTGAAATCATAAAAATAGGAAACACTCTCTCACGACATCTCTCCACTATGAGAGTGACTAAGTAGACTCCTACAATTACTCAACTAAAGTTTAAAAGACATGGAACTCTATAAGTATTCAACAACTAAAGACAGGTAGCCACTACTTTAAGCAATTCCACTAAGCACGTGACATTCCTTTCCCCCATTGAAAAAACCTTGTCCTCAAGGTTGACATCTGAAAAACTGAGATCGAGGCAATAGATTTGGGGAAGAGCTCCATCTTTATTTTCCTCCACCTCTTTCCAAATCTCACGTTCACTTTCAATTTTTGTTGTTGGAGGTGGCACCCCTTTAAGTACCACATCTTGTCCACCCACATTAAATGCCATTTGCAGTTTAGAGAAATCCCAAACAATTGGCCCTAAGAGCATCCGCAATGATGCTCTCTATTTCTTAGCTAAAATATAGCTAAAAATATAATAAAGCTATTTTAGGAGCTCTCTAAAAAATTTCAACTCCAACCATACTCCCTAATTTGGAGAGTCATAAATGCTATAACTCTTTTTTGATTGGTCCATCTCTATTAAAAAATAAAATAAAAAATAGTTAGCATTAAATAAAGGTTTGAAATACTTATTATGGAGCCACTAGGAGTACTTTCTCTCTCCTCAGATTTAGGAGCTCCTAGAGGACTCCATATTTTAGGAGGTGGATAGGGAGCATGGTTGGAGTTGCATTTTTACAATTCCTCCCTAAAATTTGTCTAAGGAGGTGGTTTAGGGAGCCCATTGCGGATGCTCTAACGTGCGCAACCATTGTGCGCCCAAAACAGCATCACAACCCTTTAAAGGAAGAAGATATAAATCAACAATGATGGGAACTCCTTGGATTAGCATGCACACCCCTTTGCAAAGCCCAGCACTAGTAAGCGTTTCACTGTTGGCAACTGACACCTCAAACTTTCCATAGCCAGTGGGATTAACACCATCTTTCTTTGCAACTTTATTACTCAGAAAATTGTGGGTGCTTCCAGAATCCACCAAGAATGTCATTTGATGCTTACCCACTTTTCCGTGCACCCGCATTGTTTGTGGAGTTTGACCACCATAAATAGCACGAAGAGATATTTCAGGAAATACTTCTTCACCCAATTCCACTTCATGAGTATCTGCATCTTTGGCATCATTTTCTTCATTTGACCAGCAACCTTTAATGAGAAATAATTTTTTGCACCGGACTAAACTTCTCATCACAATTGTAGCAAAGTCCTTTATCTCTTCGTTCCTTTAGTTCGACCGCAAACAACCGCTTAATTGGCATGAAATTTTGTCAATGGTCAGACTTCGTAACCCCAATCGGTACAGGGCTACTTCACATCCAAAGTTAAGTATCGCCTAGTTGTTTGATTACGGGACTCATATAGGCGAGCCAATCCGATGGCAGCAGAGAGTGTTTGTGGCTTGCACGCTTGCACATCAGTTTTGATATTTTCCTTCAAACCACTCACAAAACAACCAACTTGTTGATCTGGAGTTAGTCTTCCTGCTCTAATCAATAATTTCTCAAACTCAATTTGATAATCTCATACCGAACCTGATTGTTGTGACTTCGTTAGATCACCAAAAAAGTCTTGAAATTGGGTGGGGCCGTACCTGTCATGCAGTCCTTGCTTAAAAGTCGCCCACGTGGTGATGGGGGTTTCCTTCTTCATCAATTGGAACCACAATTGAGCATCCCCTTCAAGATTGAATGAAGCTAACGGAACTCTCTCAGTTTCTGGAGTTTGGTGAAAGTCAAAGAATTGTTCAGCACGGCATATCCAACTTGTGGGGTCTTCCAATCCGTTGAAGTGAGGAAAGTCTAGCTTCACCATTTTAGGAAGGTAAGAGGTGCTAGAGTTTGGAGTGCCAGATCCACTTCCAAAGGTTCGGCCTCGTCCACCATTGAAGGTACTACTAATGCCATCACCGGTCCGAGAAATTTGATCCAAGCAAGCATTCATGGCTGAGAACATCTTGTGCATCTCCCTGAGTAGTTTTTCTTGTCCAGTGGCTAGGGAGCTCACTTCAATTTCCAGGAGTTCTACTCGCTGCTCCTCCATGCCCGGTTCTGATACCAAGCTATTATGTGCTTGGGACATGGCTCGTGTGATTGGGCGGTTAGATATAGGGAGTTGGTATGTAGTCTTCTTCTTACGGCCTCCTATGGTTGCAGCAATATCTAGGAAGCTCAGTTGGGATAAGAAGTAGATGAAAAGGGTTGCTTCGAGGGAACCCAAAACCTCCAAGTTAGATAAGCTAATAGTAGGAATATTATCTGCCGTTCCATTAATGAAAAGCCATTGGAATTTATACATAGACCAGACTCTAACTGAAAGCATAAAAATAGGAAACACTCTCTCACGACATCTCTCCACTATGAGAGTGACTAACTAAACTCCTACAATTACTCAACTAAAGTTTAAAAGACAGGGAACTCTATAAGTATTCATCAACTAAAAACATGTAGCCACTACTTTAAGCAATTCCACTAAGCACGTGACAAATAGCAGAGTCAAAAACAAAAGGAGAATGCAGAGTTAGGGGGGAGGAAAGACAAAATAAAAATATTTAAAATATTTAAAATGTTTTGAAATGTTTTATTTTTTTCCAATGTGTATTAATTGTTGGCCTTAATTGAGTCTACATCCAATCTTAGCCATTAAAAGTTCTTCAACTTTTTTTCGTTGTTGAGAAATTATTACGTTTATAAAGGGGCATAACTTAACCTTTCATCATGGGCCTTAAAAAACTCAGGACTGGCCCTTGTGTACTCATTTAAAGTGTTCTTTTAACTATTAATGGTCTTTAGATCAACTTTCTTTTATGTGAGTGTGCTACTGTTAGCGGTTAAAACCCTAACAAGCTTAAAAGATGTAATATATTTGTGCCCCAAGTATTTGACTTTAAACAAACGATTGTGATTTGGGGTGGGGAAGCCTCCGAAGAAAGTTCTTTTCTATTCCTCAGACTAGTGAGGACTTCACAATTTATCTAAATAACACTAGTAAGTAAAGGAAAATACAGGTACTTGAAAATAAAACAAACAAGTTTAAGTAGAACTGCTTGAAATATAATACATGAAAGGAACTGCCAAGTCTAGAAAAGCATCAGAACATTAGACTTCAATTTCTGCCTGAAACGCCATTGTAGAGACGTTTATTTTTTAGGTTGGATTGGACTTTTTGTGACTAGACTGGATTTTACTGAATCGGCAGTATCTTCAACTAACTGGAATTTAGCTAGCAATCGATACCAATGACTGTGTATTGGCAGAGCTTTCTTCATATTGGAGCCAAAAGTGATTAGGATCGTGAGCTGGAATTCTGAGCAAAATCTCAAGAATAGCTTTAGAGGTCCTTGGCACCTTTGCTGGCTTTGCTTCTGTATTCGTAAGCTTGAATGATTTGTTTAAATAATTGAACTTGATCAATTTGTTTGAGTAGTTTTTGTTTGGTTGGGGGTTCCGTTTTGTTCTTCTATATTTATAGAGGTTTGAAGGCAACCAAAACTAACAGCTGTCATCTTCAAGGAATCGCACGCTAATCCTATCTATGCTGCCTTCTTGATATTTTAGTGTATCGTCATTATTTCTTCACTTGGATGATGCACACCCACATTCTTTTATAATAAAGAAACCAAAAGATAATACTATTTCTTGTCTGTTCAATCCTTATCACTGGTAGTGTTCTAATTCTTATTTGCTTCCTCCTCTTGGGGGGAGCATTTTTGCTCACCACTTTAACCCAATGTGTATCATCACCACCTTTCTTTTAACTTGACAATTGTCCATACTTATAACCATAGTTAACTTTTTGATTTATAATCTTTTAAGTATTTAAAATTTAAAGATAAAGTATAATAATAATTAAATAACATTTAAAAAAAAAAAAAAAACTTTTTCTCCTTCTCTCCTCCCTTCCCGATGAGACCCACCACAACCCCACCCCAACCCCAACTAGCCTCGCCTGCACAACCACCAACTACCACCAACTCGCATATGTCAACAACGACACCAAAATCATCATCATAGATTACAACATCAAGCTTGCCTCATTCTATGACACCTTGAACGATGTTGTCTGCGTTAAGTACCAGGTCCCCAGCGAAGATCTTGACGCCTTCATCTCCATCACCAACGACAAGGACCTCGACCACATGATCATCGAGTACGACCAGCTTTACCGCGCTTTTGCTAAGCTCGCAAGGCTTAGGCTCTTCCTCTTCCCTCTCAGGAACAACCCCCCGCTAGCTTTGGCTCCAATAAGACCAAGTTGAATGCCAGGTGTTCGTCAACGCTCTGAATTTGGTCAGATCGGGTCTCATGATGGTTCTTCTTTGACGGATCCGGTCACAGCGTTGCCGACGAACCCCAATCGGGTCTTGTCAGTGTGGGTGGTTGTTGTGGGGAGGTGCGTGGTTGAGGTTGAACGAGGTGGGGGAGGTGGTTGGGGTTGCTGCAAGGGAATTTGGTGGCTGGTGGGGTAGGTCTCGTTGGGAAGGGGGGAGAAAGAAGGAGAGAGAGTTTTTTTAAATCTTATTTAATTTTTAATTTTAAATACTTAAAAGATTTAAAATCAAAGAGTTAACTATGGTTACAAGTATGGACAAGTGTCAAGTTATAAGAAGAGTGGTGAGGGTACACATTGGGTTAAAGTGGTGAGCAAAAATACTCCTCCTCTTGGCTAGCCATCCATTTGGTTCTTTCAATAAACAAATATTGTTTAATCTACTGATTGGATGATTGCATGTAACTTTCGGCTCATGCAAAAGCAATTGTACAAACATTGCTCCATCACTTTGATGAAATAATATTTATTTATTGCATTCTTTGGTTAACTCTTCTCCACCAACTTTTCATTCTCACACGCATTGTCAATATTTGTGGATGGTCTCCCACCTTTTATCTCTTCCTTTTTATTCAAATTGCAATAGGTAGGGAGATATGATGATGGTCATTAGATATTTGAAGAATAACAATTAGAAAGCATTCCACTCACCACTAATGGATAAGTGGTGATGAAGAAAACCCCTTCCAGCTTGGATTACTCTTCCTCAATGCCAAAATATGATAAAAATTAACAACCAAATATTTGATTATTTTTGGCTCTTTGTCAATTAATATCCTTAAATGACTCTCAGCCGTTGTTTTTGAAATTGATTTGGATAGGTAAAAGACCATTGAGCCCATGCAGAACTGCGATTTACCGTTGGTTTCCCCAACCCTCTTAACTATTTTGCCATGTGGACATCAAATAGTACATGTCCAGCTTGTTTTTGGATGAAATAATCGTGAATGTTACTGAATTTAGTCAAAAAGTTGTGAAGGGAGAGAATGTTTTGGCCATAAATTGGACAAATTTTTTAACTTGTAACCACTTGCATGCTTTATTTCATTTGTTAATATACAATGATGACATAAATTATCACATCATATATTTTCTTATTTCCATTTCTTTCCTTCTTGCTGGAGGTTGTGACGCCCTTCCAGAACGCCTTCGTAGCAAACAGACAGATCCAAGACAACATTTTAATCGCCCATGAAGCCTTCCACAGATTAAGACTGAAGAAGAAGGGGAAAAACCACCAATTGGGAATTAAATTGGACATGAACAAGGCGTATGATCGCATTGAGTGGGATTTCTTAGAAGGGGTTATGTTGAAAATGGGGTTCTGCAGAAAATGGACCTCCTTAATTATGGGGTGCCTGTCCTCCATAAGCTTCTCAGTGGTTTTGAACGGGAAGAATGGCCGCTTCTTCAAGCCTTCCAGGGGTCTTCGCCAAGGAGACCCATTATCGGCTTACCTGTTCATCTTAGTTAATGATGCTCTCTCTCACTTCATATCATCTGAGTGTGCTAGTGGGAGACTTAATGGCATTAGACTATGCAATGGCAGCCCCACTCTTTCTCACCTGTTTTGCGCAGATGATACCCTTCTATTCATCAAAGCCTCCCTTGAGAATTGCAGCAGAATGTCCCACATTCTGGATGCCTACTGTGCAGCTTATGGTCAACTCGTTAATTTGGACAAGTCCAATATGTTCTTCAGTCCAAATACCCCAAGTCATATCAAAAGAAGTGTGTGCTCAGTGTTAAATATTAAGGAGGCGGACAATCCAGGGAGGTATTTGGGTTTGCCGTCGGTGTGGGGTAGCTCAAAAAAAGAGGCCCTTGGCTATATTAAAGAGCGTATTCTGAAGCTCATACACAGTTGGAACAACAAGGAACTCTCCCACGCTGGAAAGGAAGTGTTAATTAAGGCTGTAGCCACTGCCATCCCGGCTTACCCAATGACCTGTTTCAAATTCCCAATTACTCTATGCAATGAGATCAATATGGTCATGGCTTCCTTTTGGTGGGGAGATAATGATTCCGGGAGAAAGGTTCACTGGAAGAAGTGGGCAAGCTTGGGAGAGGCAAAAAACTGTGGTGGACTTGGGTTTCGAGATTTGGTTTCGTTTAACAAGGCTTTATTGGCGAAACAACGTTGGAGAATCCTTAATAACCCTCAGGCTCTTTGGGTTAGGATTCTCAAAAGCTTGTATTTTCCGAATTGTGGTCTCATTGAGGCTGAGAAGAGTGGCAGAGCCTCTTGGGCGTGGAATAGTTTACTTGAAGGAAGAGATGTTATTTTGAGTGGCGCTAGATGGCAAATACTGGGAGGCAATTCTGTTAGGTTGTGGGAAGACTCATGGCTTCCCCAATCTAATCATGGGTACCTCCGCCCTCTTGCTCATGTGCCCTCCCCTGGACCCAAGATGGTGGCAGATATAATTGATTGGGAGCATAAGACCTAGGATTTAGTGGACATTGAGAATCTGATTTCGGTGGATGAGGCCAATGAGATCTTTTCCCTTCCAATTGGAGGTAAAGATACCCCTGACCGCTTGATTTGGCCTCACACGAAAAATGGCTCGTATTCAGTCAAGTCGGGCTACCACTGGATCATTGGGAATATCAAGCGTGCTCAGCCAAATAGGATTGAATCCTCTCACCAGGTGGATACGCAAGTCTGGAAGTGCATTTGGGAATGCAAAAGTCTCCCAAAGATCAAATTATTCATGTGGCGTGCTGTCCATGGCATTCTTCCTACATTTGCCAGTTTGTTCAAAAAGAAGTTAAGCCCCTCCCCCCTCTGCCCTCTCTGCTTGGACTTTCCTGAATTAGTGGAACATGTCATCTTCTTATGCCCATGGGCTCGAAAAGTTTGGTATGCTAGTAATCTATCCTTCAGGCCTGATGATCAAGCTTTCTCTTCCTTGGATAGATGGATTTTGGCCATTTCCTGCTGCTCTGCTTTCTCGAGCCTGGAGAAGCAGTGGATCTTATCTCATGCCTCCTTTGTGTGCTGGAGCATCTGGAAAGCTCGGTGCTCCTTTATTTACGACCATCATAAAGATGGCCTCCCCCCTCCAGATGTGGTGGCCAAATTGGCGAGTCGGGATGCCAATGAATTTCTTGCAATTTGCATGAAAATGGATGGTGTCACCACCCCAAGTACTGAGGGGCTTGTGCCAAGACCTTCTGCTCGTAATTGGTTGCCGCCCCCCCCCAAGTAGGCTACATTAAAGCAAATTGTGATGGTTCGTGGGATCATACGTCAAAGGCTGCTTCTTCGGGTGTCGTTCTTAGAAACCATAATGGGGAGGTGATTGGTGGTATGGCTAATACGTTCCAGGTGCTGTCAGCTGACCAAGCTGAGGGTGAAGCTTTGCTGAATGGCCTAAGTTTGGCCAAGAACTACGGTTTTCTCAAGATAGTTGTGGAGACGGACTCAAAGGTCTGTTTTTCTGCGGCAAAGGATGCTCTGCCTTGTGTCAAGTGGCAGTTGTTTCCTATTTTCCATGCTATAAATGATCTGAGGGCTTCCTTCGAATCGCTCCGGTGGTCTTGGGTCCCTAGGGAAGCGAACCAAGCAGCGGATTGGGTAGCTTCGCAAGTTAAGAGGGGGTTGTGCGCTGAGGCGTGGGTCAATAGACCTCCAACTGCCCTGGTCTTCATCTTGTCTCGTGATGGCCTGTCATGCCCTCCGACTTCGTCCACCCAGTCCTGAGGCTGCTTTCTGGCTGTTTTTGCTTCATGTACTGGGGCTAATTTAATTTAATTTTGTGCTCTCTGTTTTGTAGTAGTTTTATCTTTGTGGTCTTGTCCTGTTCTGTTTGGCTCTGCCTTTTGGCTTTGTTTTATGAAATATCCAGTTACCAGAAAGAAAAAAAAAATCATTCTTTTATCATCCTCCACTTGCCTGTTCTCTACTTCACCTTCTCCTTTGGTGTAACACTTAACGTGCTTCCTCCAAAATCCTCATCTTTCCTTTATTTTAATATTCTTTCTTACAAAAAGAATATCAAAAATTTGCATGCACACCATGATGCCCTTGTCTCTCACACCAATTTTCCTTACTAGAAATGATCTCCAACCTCTGTATAACGTTGGGCAAAATTGTATATTTCATGATTTGTCCTCTAAATCATGTATTTTAGCTAGAATAAAGAATTTAGCCAACAAGTGCAAAATCTTGTACAAACAGCAACCTTTTGCTTTAGATTTGGAATACAATCGGGTCACAAAAGATGATGTCGACTGGGTATATATTAATTTAAGATTACTTTAACAAGACAAATAGGCATCCCTCTTCTGCCAACTTAGTCATATATTAATCCAAATTTGTCATGACATATGAAAATTAGTATAATGTCGAATTACACTCATAGAATTTATTGACAAAAAAGGGGTTGATTATCGTTTTTGCTCTGATACCATGAAGGAAGTTGAGTTGAGGTTCCACTCTAAAACCAATTAGTAATGAGGAGTAGTAGCCCAACTCCTTATACTCATACTGTATCCCTTAACTTTTCAATATAATTAAGGACAAATACTCTTAGCAGTCCCAACATATTGGAAGCCAGCCTCTAACAACACCAACTTGATTGGGACAAAAAGAAAAACCTTTGGTTTTCTACTGGGGCGCCGCATGTCCAAGGAGTAAGCTTGTCTAGTTATCCTGGTACAAAATCATATATGTGTCAAAATAGTTAGTCATATATAATTCATCAAACAACAAATGATCAGGGGAAAATTAAAAGTAAAATATAAAAACGTGAAAATAAAATTGTATATATCTGTATGCCCCTTTATTTACCTGCACTTGTATTTTTGACATGATGAAGCTTGTAGTTAAAAAGGAGGTGATGATGAGCTCTTATATTTCCGGAACGCACACGGTTGTTCCAATTGATCTCCACATGCATGCGACCTCATAGATACTATCAAACAATAAACAAATTGTAAATTAATCAGACCAAAAAAAGCTAAAAACGGCTTCTGGTGTTTAACTATATATAAGTGTATATACCTCTGGTGAATCACAAATTCGATTTATGAAAACCCTCAGTTTCATCATCAGCGTCGCTTTCCTCTTCATCTTCACCACCTAGGGTTTCTGAAGCTACCCTACACATCCTAATTACCAAGTAACTCGCAAGCAAGGGGTAAGAGTTTTTGTTTATGCAGAAACAAACTCATGGTTGGATATATTTATAGGTAGGAAAGAATGTTTTAAAACGGTTTCGAGAAACAATGGGCTACCAATTCCGTCCAAGAAAACAATGGGCAGGCCAAGTCTTTTCTGTTTTTTCCTTTTTTTGCTTTGTGAATGGTTAGGTTTTTGGAGTTATTTTCCTCCTGTATCTGCTTGTGCGTGTGTGGATTTCTTTAAATATTTTCTGTACGTTTTTTCCTTATTCGCTTATTACTTTCTCCTGTGTTTTGGTAAATATGTTCATTTGGTATGTAAACATGTTACTCTTTTTATTTTATTTTATGAAGATTTATTCTTTTGTATCCGTGATTGTACGAAAGCATGGGCGAAGCCAATTGAGGCCTACAAGGGTCACTTGACCCCTCATCCTTGATAATTTGTTTTTGCATTTGTTGCATTTTACTCAATTACTTTCTATATTACATGACTGACCTTTCTCATCTTTTCAGTTTACTCGCTTTCTTATTTTCTTATTTTCTTTGTTTAACCAAGTGCAAACAATCCCTCTTGGCTCTAGTCGTATCTTTTTTCTAACACAACATCACATAAACACACCTTATAATTCGTAAGATTTCTCATGATTTCTTTAATCAAATGAGCCAATCAATTAGGCAAAATTTTCACTCTTGCTATTTAAGATTGACCCTCCTTGATAAAATTTCTAACTCCGCCACTGTACGAAAGTAGAACCGAGCTTATTGTGGCTTACATTTACGATCCAATTTGGGGACAAGTCTAAACCGCCCTTCATTTTTCTGATTGATGTTTCTCGAATTCTTCTCGATATGCCTACCCTATGGAGGAGAGGTTCCTGGCTGGGATTAGCACCAACATCAAGACTTGCCGAAAACCCGAGCCACAAGGCTGGCCCTGAAAAGAATTAAAACAGGTTCGAGATTTTTGTTAATCAGAGATTCAGATCTAGTAATACAATATCATCAGATCTATCTACTCTACCAGACAAAAGAAAATAAAAAATAAAAATAGAAATGAACCAAACCCTAAGCACGGATTGAAGTGACGAAATGCTGAGAGGGACGTTTAAGTTAAACATACCTGATTCTGGTGAATCACCAATTTGATTGATGCTTGAGAACGTCAGGTTCTTTATCAACATCGTCTTCATCTTCATCTAGGATTTCAGGAGCTACTCTACACATCCCAATTACCATCTCCTTAATCAATAGAAGCTAAAATCCCTAATGAATCCCTAAACAAAGTGTAAGAATTTTTTAATGTGCATAAACCACCTCAGGGTTGGATCAATTTATAGAGAGGATAGAGGGTTCCAGAAGGCTAGCCAGAAGAGTTTGTGTTTGCTCCAGGCTACCCCTGTACATGAATTTATTTTCTTAGTAGTCCAGTTGGAGATCCTCTCAAAAAATTAATGTGCAGAAATATTGATTACTATTTCTGGTACAAAAGGAGGAATTGTTGAATATATTTGTTTGAGGAGTTTTATTAGTAGTGAAAGTGATTCCAGACCCTCCCAAGAAATCAAAATCAACATTTGGCATTGTTGGATAGTAAAGGAATCAATATTATAATAATGAAATTTAAAACTAGTATTTATATGTGTTTACACCAGATTTGACCAACCAATCAGAAGACGGCACTTGAAAAAAGGGACACACGAAGATGATCTGCTAAAACCGGCAATCAATTGCACCCCACAAAGCACCATCGACAGGGGAGAGCCCTCAACACCTAGGATTGCCGATCATGGCAAAAGACTCGTTTTGTTAGGCATTTCTCACAAGTACACGTGGCACCTCCTCAGATAATGTCCAGAGTCCCACATTGAAATTCCACTCAAGATGCACACCTCCCAAAGTCTATAAAAAGGGGCACAAGTCCCAAAAAGGAGGTAACTGCGACATTCGGCAATTCAACCATTACTCTGTCCAGATCACTATTCACTTCATACTTATTCTAATCTAAGCATCGAAGAGCATTCGGCCGGTACCACACCAGTGCCAAAAGGCTTATCGAGCGTTTTTTGTCTTGCAAATCAACCGCTCTGCCAAAGATCATGCGGGGCCGAAGGTGACATCATCAATAAGTTGGACCCAAAAGTGTCCAATCATTTTTGAGCATCAACAATATGCAATTGGGGACTGATGTTAGAAGATACCATTTCAAATATCAAACCCTCCCAAGACACCACGGCTTGGAAGAATTCAATATAGTTTGGCTGATAATGTATTTGTTTATTTGAAAATATTGAAGGACTGAGTACTAATAAAATTGTACCCAATAAGCAATAGCAACCCCAAACTAGAATACTGATTTCAAAACAGCGGCCGCATAGTCTCTATTATTTAGTGGAGACAATTAATTGTCTCAAAAATCAACTTAAGAGACAAATCAAAATCGGTATTCAGTGTGAGTTCTCAAAAATTAAGATGCATCTTGAATCTTGTACGAGTCTCCAAAGTTTTACATTGGAAACAAATTTATACTCCTTCCCTCTTTTACTAATCTAATATAATGCTCTATTCTAGAACCGAAGTTGGTCGCATTTTATTTGTATGATCTTAGTTAGTACTTCTCTTTTGATTAGTACGACTTCTCATTTTATTGTGAGGTTGTTATTGATGTGAACACTTTTGGGTCCGCACAAGAAAAGTTAGTGAAAAAATTATTGAAAGTAGATGGACGTATGCATGGTCATGTATTTTTGGGTCTTATTATGCATATGCAATATTTTTTTAAATACAAGTGATAGTCTGAAATTATAAGGGGAGGGATTTCTCACACTCTAATAAGGTGCCACGGGGGTTTAAACTTGAGACCACCAGTCTGCAAGTCAAGACCCTTTTTCATTTGGTTGGATCCGTTGACATGCGCTTGCAATTTAATTTGTCCTTTTTTTTCCCTTCAAAACATAAATCTTTTAGTTAAAAAGATGCTAACGAACTTTCCTAAAATATTCCTATCACCAAAAAAAAAAAAAAAAAAAGCTTTCCTAAAATATCTGAAAAGTTGATATTACAAATGATTCAATATGAGAAAATTTTAAAATATAACTGTCATACCGTCATGTAGTATTACTAAGACCGCAAAGGTACTTCAATTCATCAAATTGATTTTGAATTGGCGAAGGGTAGAAATGTTCATAATCTCCTGCACTTCTGCAAATAGACTTAAATTATTACTTTAGCTTGAGGCGTAATAATCTGAATATCAGATTATGAATATTATCTGAATCCTGAATCCCAGTTGTCCACGACCTCAAAGAGATCAAGGAGGAACTTCCACGTTTGATATTTGTGCAAGGAATGCATGGAAGAATCTATATGAGATCGGCCACATAAAGCTTTTTTATGTCATCAACTATATCATGTCATGCTTCATTCTTCTTTTACTTTTGTTCGGGCTTCGTCACTTTCATGTACAGTTTTTCATTTTAATTTCTCGCTCCTATGTAAAATCCACAAGTCTTGGATACGAAATATGTAAAATTGTGAATGACAGAAAACACATATTTGGATCATTATATGGCTTTGAAATCAACATGTTAAATAAGTTTATGTATTGGCTACTTTAGTGATAACTTCATGTATTACGTTTTATAGAAAATTTGACTTCTCCCCTTCAAAATAATTTTTTCTTACCAGCGGTTCATGACCCTATTTTTCTATAAATAAAACTCAATTTTTATAAGTAAAGTCTGATGACTAGGATCCAACTTAACAAGTTACCTAATCAAGCTTAATGTGTTAGATTTAATATTTTTTAGATCCCTTAAATACCCCCACTTACTTTGTTATTTGAGTTTTCTCCATTTATTGTCTTGAATATATGTTAAACATATTCTCTGCAATTCAATTGCCATTAATGTTTGTCATTTCATTAGTGTTTTATTTTCAAATGTGAAATTAAATTGGCATAGGCATGTGTATTTATCAAGAAAGAGAATGAGAGGAATGGAAGTCATTCCCATTCCAGACCACTCCTTTATTTACTTGCATGTTGGAATGAAAAGTGATGCGGGGCTCACATGTAATCGTGACTTTGATTCCTAATATAGGGGCAAGCAATGGCATTCCGGATAGGGGAGATGGTATTGGGCATGGATGAATTAGAATGGACATTTTCTATCCAAATTCCCCTCATATATTTTGTGAAAACACCAAAAGACCAACCAAAAAAACAAGTTGATGCCATTTTCTTTCACTAGAATAGACGACACTAAATAGATGACGAAAGTCATAAACATTGTGTTCTTACTTTATCAAACGACAATTTGACCTTAAAACCGTCGTCTAGAGGGTGTAAAATTGTTAATTTAAAAATTTCCCTCTTGTAAGAACGACGATTTTTAACCAACTGTCATTTGTCTTATTTACATCAGGGGCAAAATCCTGAAATTCACTGTAGCGGAGCGGAAGATCCACGGAACTTAAAAATCACGTCATGACCTCCTCAACCGAAAACAAAGACTCGGTTGACCAAAAAAGACAAAGACTTAGGCACTTTTTGAGAAAAATAAAAATAAAAAAACAAACGAAAAAAAAGAAGCTTGGAATTTACCCCAGGGTCCCCAACTACATATCCAACGCTATTAAATTAGGATAATTAAGTCATTAATCCCATAAGGTAATGCAAGATTAGCAAATCAACTCCATCATGAAGTCAGTATAAACTATGAAGAAGGAATCCCTTGTGTCTTTTTGGTTTTGGCCACATAAATTAATTGTCCCTCCCTGTCTGTTTATCTCCAAGTAAAACCCCAAAAATCTTGAGTTAATTTAAACATAAATACAGTATGGGAATTGGCACTACGTCTCCTGATTTTTATTCAGTAAAATAAGAACAATGGGAAAAGTCAAAGAAAAACATGAGTACTTTCTCCTAAGAGTTTAAAAAAGATGGTTAACAATATGCTCTAAACATGAAATCAGCATCCTTTAGAAATCCAATTTTTATTCAAATGAGATGCCATCCA